GCCAGCATGCTGGCTGGGGAATTCTGGGAGTTGAACTCCACTCCTCTTAAAGTTGCCAAGGCTGAGAAACACTGCTCCAAACAATGAAGGAGTGTCTACCCACCACCTCCCAAGGCGCCTTTTTCATTATTGAACAGCTCTCTTCCTCTTAAGGAAGTTCTTCATGAAATCCAACCGAAATCTACTTCCCATATTTGAACCCTCATATTTTTTGTCCTTAGGGGACAACACTGAACATTTCTGTCCCATCATCTACACCGATGTTTCTCAGCCTTGGCAACTTTAAGATATCTGGACTTTAAGATACAGTATGCTGGCTGGGGAATTCTGGGAGTTGAAGTCCACATATCTTAAAGTTGCCAAGGTTGAGGAACACTGATCTACATGATGCTCCTATATTTGAATGTAGCTATCATGTGTCTCTGAAGCCTTCTCTTCTTCAAGGTAAACATACCCAACATCTCCAACCATTTCTAGAAGGGTTTTCTTATCATCTTGGTTGCTGCAGAGATTTCACAAGAGTGGGGCAGTTTTCTATAGGTAGTAGGAAATTGACTAGAAGGGACTGAAATTAACTACAAACATTTAAGTTTGGTTTTTGAAATCAATCTTCCTTCCTTCCTTCCTTCCTTCCTTCCTTCCTTCCTTCCTTCCTTCCTTTTCTCTCTCTCTCTGTCTCCCTCCCCCTTTCCTTTCCTTTCCTTTCCTTTTTCTTCCCTCCCTCCCTCCCTCCCTCCCTCCCTCCCTCCCTCCCTCCCTCCCTCCCTCCCTCCCTCCCTCCCTCCCTCCCTCCCTCCCTCCCTCCCTCCCTCCCTCCCTCCCTCCCTCCCTCCCTCCCTCCCTCCCTCCCTCCCTCCCTCCCTCCCTCCCTCCCTCCCTCCCTCCCTCCCTCCCTCCCTCCCTCCCTCCCTCCCTCCCTCCCTCCCTTTCTCTTTCTTTCTTTCTTTCTTTCTTTCTTTCTTTCTTTCTCTCTCTCTCTCTCTCTCTGTCTGACTCTCACTCACTCACTCACTCACTCACTCTCCCTTTCTTTCCTTCCCCTTCCTCTTCCTTCCTCTTTCAAAAAATCAAATTGAGTTGTTCTGCATAATTGAAAGACAAAAGACAAATTAACTAAATAAACATCAGATGCACAGGAATGAAGAAACAAATGCTTTATTCCTGCACACATCTCCAGACAGAAAACTAGACCTCTCCAAAAAGAAAAAGAACAATGAACGTGATAGAACTAGAACATCTCCTAAATCACCTGCTTTTAAGAGCCGTTCACACTCCTGGTTGTGTTATAAAGCTGTTGAACAAAAGGCCGTATTGCTGAACGTGGCATCACAGACTTGGAAGGCACGTTCAAGGTCATCTAGTCCAGCCCCTGGCCTGGTGCAGACTTTGCTACAACCTTGCTGACCAATGGCCACCCAGTCTCACTGTGAAGACCTCCCCAGGGAAGGAGAACTCACCGCTCCTTTCATGCTGAGTAACAATGGTGTTTTTGTGTTCACTGTGTTATCCCAGTATGGCAATTCAGCTATGAAAGGGGGGCTGGGGTAGACCCTTCCCAGAAGTAATCATCACTTTTCAGTTTGATTTATTCGAAGGGTTTTCTCTGGGTTCCCATGGCTGGTCTTCTCCTTGGCCTGTGCCCTTGGAGTGGCCCTGATCTTGAAAGCCCACCTTCCTGGAGATCGTTGAATGAATGTGGGTGTTTTGTGACCCCCACCCTTTCTCTTTCACAATTGTGCCACGAATTTTCCTTCTGGCGTTGTCACTTCCCATTGAGAAGCGCGGGGGATAAGTGGGAGGCGGTGTGTTTGGTTAATGGAGAGCCTTGCAAATAAATCTTTGCATGAAACAGATCTATAATTCATGTTGCTATTGATTATAGGTCACGGGTACCTTTAAAATGGATTGCTGGCTTCAATTTCACTCCCTTTGACGGAGGGGCCGGCTGGCAGTGGTGGATAGAGAGGTCTCATCCATCTAGCTGCTTTTGGACACAGCGGAGTCTTTCAGCCCGGCTCCTGGTAAAGATCCATAACAGCGGTGACTCTGGAACTCCGTTGTCCCTGAACGATTCAGGGCTGTTTCTTTTGCTTGGTTTGGCGATGGAGCGCCCCACCAGGAGAGTTCCCCACCAGCAAGAAATCTGGGGAAGCACTAATAAGGGATGTGTCTTCATCATGGGAAGGCTATGATAAGGGCCAATGAAGACATACCCATTCTTACTGCTCCCCCAGATCCCCTGTGGTGGTGCCTGCTGGTGGGGTGCCCCATCGCCACACCACCACCAAACACCCCACTTTTCTTGTCACTCAGCCTTTTTCCTTGTATCCAGATCCAGCAATAATCCTAGGGGAGATGTTCTTCCCTCCATTTCTCCTCCCCTCCAAAACATGTCCTCCTGTTTTATGATCCCAAAGGACTGAACTAGTTGACCTCTAAGGAGACCTTCAACTTGATTATCCTATAAGTCTAGGATGCCTGTTCTCTTCAAAGAGCCTTTCCTTAGGCTCCGCTGTTCCTAATGTCTGGAATGTGTCTTCTCTTCCACTCAGCCTTCGGCTTAATCTTGTTGGCTCCCACATCTTGTTAAAGCTTCAATCTGGCTCGATTTTAGATAGGCTAACAGGGGGTTGGGTTTGCTGGTAGCTCATCATATGGTGAGCTGAAGATGGTATAAATAGGGGCATCTTCATGAATCCTAATATGGCTTATTTGTTTGGCAATCACCATTTATTAATGCAGTAATTCAGCTTTGTGAAGATGAGTTCAGGGTTGAGTGTGTTACTTGAATCCAGCCTATGGGCAGCCATACCAAACTTGCGTTCTTCACATTTACAGTCCTGTGGCTTGATTCCCTCCATGTTATCCTATAATCTCTTTGCAACAAGGGCCTGTCCTTTGGTAAACCCAAACTGGCACTGTTTTAATGTATGGACTGATAAACACTCCCTGCCCGATTAATTCAGGTTGATCTCCTCACAGGCATCGGGCTGAGCCCAAGGAAACCTTGCCACGAGAGAATCAGGTGGCAGAAGGATTCTCAGAGTGGAAGCCAGGAATGGGAGATCCACCTAAGGTCTTGGATCTATATGATTCTTCTGGTGAAAGATCCCAGAATCCAGCCCTCAGTGATGGAAGAACAGCAGGTAACTGTGCAAAGGCGCTCTGGATCTCCATGGCAGACATTGTAGGAAGAGAACTGTGTTAGTCTATGGTAGCCAAAAATCAGAAGGATTCTGGTAAGCACCTTTTCTGACTACCAAATTTTAGCTTTCAGGAGCCTCAGCTCACTTCCCCTGTGGTCAAAAAAGGCGAGATGGTGGCCATGGACGTATGATCAAAGTTCCTTCTATTTTTTACATGCATCAGACTTTTTTGATCATATCCTGCAGACACCTCTGCGTTCTAGGAATTAAGGTTAGGGGTTAGGGGTAAAAATGAAGATTGGTGCCCTTAGGCCCTTTCAGAGACAACTGACCCCATGTGTATGTTTGTGTGAGTTATATTTTAAGAGGTGAAATTTATCCCTTAAGCATTTCTGCACCAGTATACAGCTTTGGTCCGCTCCTTAAAATGCAGCCCTCACAAAACTTTAAAGAAAGGGCCCCAAATCCTGCTCCGTGGGGCTTTGGGCACTGAAAAGCAAGTGATGGGGTAGTGGAATTTTATTTTCAGTGTTGATTAGGAATAGAAGGTTACTGGCTGGCTGGAATTTTCTGGGTGGAATCTAGCTGACATTTCTGGCCCCCCGCAAAACCTCTCCAAGCCATTTCCAAACCAAGACCTCCTCCTTAACCTTCTCTCCATAAATTATGTCTTTGTGAAACGCTCCTCAAGGAAATAACCCCCTCAGGGCTGTTACGTCCAATTTGCTCTGGCCACTTCAATCACGCTTTAATACAGACAGAAAGAGCTGCTGTTTTCTCATTTATTACTCAAATGCCCTGCTCAACGTCTCATTGGCGTAAATCACGCGAGAACCAAAATCTGTCCACGTTTATTATGGAATATGATTACGTGGCTTCTTCAGAAAAAAATCATAACTTATTCCGATTGGGCTATTAAAAATGTGCTTTCTTCAGAGATATTTCCAACATAATTTAAGAGGCCACATTTTTAAAAAAAGGAATCTATCTATCTGAGAGACTTTGGTTTCTTAGTTTTATCTGCAGTTCATATTTCTTCTTCCCTCCCATTCAACTTCTAGTAGCTGAATCCAGATCTTCTGTCTGACACATTTCTATAATGTATAGTCCTGTAGGTGCCTTTTCTGTAGGAAATTATAAATATTAAGTCAGGAGTTACAATTCCTCAGAATTGTACTTATTCACAGCATGTCAGCGTAATGAAATGCCATTTATACCATAACGTCTCGCTTAGAAAATGTCCCAGTCAATTACTGTGCTGGCTAATAATAATAAAACAACAGTAACTAATAGTAGGTTGTAGAGCCATTGAAAAAACCTATATAAAGATTATCGTGAGGGGTAGCATATAAAAATACTGTATGCTGGCAAATCAAGCAATGCCTAATTCTGCTCCCAAACGGGTCGCAAACCTGATCGAATCTGTGCATCTGCGAATTCAGGTTGAGGTCAGATGGGCTCGATTTTCAAAGCTGAGCCCAAAGCATTTGCTGATGCTCTCTGCAGGGAAAGCGGATGAGCAAAAAGCAGAAGAATCCCCTCTTCTCTTCCTTGGAAAGTCTTGCAAAGCAGAGGAGAATTTTGGAGAAAATCCGATGGGGGTGTCCTTCTGTTTTTGGGTAGCGAGGTGGCTAAGGGGCCTGTGGGAATGCCTTCTCTTCCAATCTGCAACCTTCCTTCTGCAGTTTCTCTGGCTTCTCCCTCTTCAAAACATTTCCCCCGGGGGGCTTTTGCAGTAATATCCTTGTCTTTTCCCACTCTTAAGAAATGGTGCAAAAATTTCTGCTTCCTCTGGAGAAAAGCAGAGAAATCATACGTGTGCATGTACACACACATATTTCTTTGTCCATAAAGTGGAGGAAGAATGTCAAAATACTGTTGGTACCCAGTGCTAAACTGCTTGATCTCCTTTGCCTCCTCCTCCGTTGCACAGATGTTGTTGTACACGTTTTTTCTCTACTGGACCATCACTAAGAGTCAGGAACCTCAGCTGGGGAAAGACATAGAAAAGCTCTGAAATTAAGATCCAAAATTAAATCAGTATCTAAACTTCTGCTGTTCCTAGGTCGCTTGGCCAGCCAAGAAGAAAAAGAACACAATAATGGAACTGGTTTGACCAAGAATTCCCAAGAAGACCATCCTGGTTATCCGTTGGACAAAAGCCCAGAAGGTTTGGCTTCTACAGGATCTTCCTCCAAACTTCATGGTTTCTCTCCATATCCAGAGACGTCACCGTCTGGTCTTGAATTTTATAAGGCCAATGCAATTCTAGTCAATCTTTCTGGAAGTTCTCTTTCCCCCTCAGATTTAGAAGAGGATGACCTGCAAGACACAGATGTCAGCCTTCCTGAAGAATTTGTCTTCCAGGAACAATTGCCTGATAACTTCAATGACTCTATGCATCACGGAACTCCAGTAATGCCAAGGATAGTAATAAATAGAGCAAACACGTTATCATCCACTGAGAAGAAACCTCACGTGCAAATTTCTGGTGGTGATCTTGGGTCAGAGGACTTATGTATTCTGTATAGCCAGGAAAAGGTTTGGGAAGATGCACCTGAAACAGAACAGTTGGTTGAATCTGGATCTATCATATTACTGAACAGTGGAAGGCTGCAAAGGTCCTGCTCTCCTTTGACAAAAAAGGATCACATTCATACACCCACTTTCAGAAGCAGTGCAACTTCTTTGAACATTTCTGATGGGTTCCCTGGGGCAGAAAATGATGGTGGGAACAAGATGACTTCTCAAAATCCAGTTGACCCAGGGGTTTTCTCATCCACCAATGTTCCTTTGCAGAGTCCTGAGGATCAAGGAGCACAGGACCCCGTGCCTTTTTTTAACGGAGCTGAAGAAGATGGTGAGGATGGAAACACATCTCATTTTGGTAGCAAGAATGCAACTGTGACTCTGGCGCCAGATGTTTCCCTGACCATCAGCACACCCCAAGATTCTGAGGTCCTAACGCACGGCCAAAAGCATTCATTTTGTCTTACATTTCCAGATTCTTCTGATCACTTGCTAGTTTCAGATGGGAAAACTGGTTATGCCAACTGTTCAGCGGATGAGTGTCTATCCAACAGACCAAATGAAATCACTCTCCGACTCAACAAAACATCCCTGGGCAGCATGGACACAGCTAAGGAAAATCAAAATAGTTCTTCAACTGAGAACCAAAATACAAATAAAGCTGGGATAGTAACAGTTGGTTTAAGTTCTTCCCAAAGGGGTCTCCTGAAAAATGAAGGTGATGCCATGCATTTAAGCAACACATTTCTTCCTGAATTGGAGGATGATATACTGTCTCCGGTTGATGAAGTGTTGACTTATGGAAGCAGTGATCTCCCATCTTCTACTGAAAAGGATGCCTCTTCTTGGAGCACAGATCTTCCAGCTCCCCCTGAAAACCTAACTGGAAAAGACGATGAGACCAACTCTAGCCTCCTTGGTTTCCCTTCTCCGCCTGATCCACTGGTGTCTTCTGAGGCTGAAGAACTTTCTCCACCTTGCAACCTCATAGCAGAAGGTTTAGTGTCCTCTCCTCATGCCTGAGCAGATTTCCTTCCATTCTCAAGTTCTCTTTGGACCAAAGAAGTCCATTTAGTGAGAACTTCACCAAAGACATATGAAGGGAGGGAGACACTCCACCTTCCACTGATCAGATGGATGAGAGGGGCTTTCACAGGCAAAGATCTCACCATCTGAAGAATGCTGAACTTGATCCTTTGATATCATTTGACTTTGGGAAGTGTATATAATGGAAATCATGCAAATTTGGAGGCCACAATCTCCTTAAAAAAATATTTTGAGCACGTGGCGTGCTAGTTCAACCACATTTATATATGCTCAGGACTCTCCATTTTTGTGAGCAGCCCTAATGAAATATCATTCCTTTTAGAAGCAACTATATACAGTTTATGCCTTTCTGGAGACAAAGGACACATCAAATAAGAAAATATATTTGGGCAGGGGGAGGAGACTCATGAGGTGCAAGGCTTCAGGAGAAGGAGAAGAAGAAGGATAGAGAAGGATCAGAAAAGAAAATCTGCAGCAGGCATGAATGGGAAGGTAAACGGTAGGTAGAGAATGGGTTGTGAAAAGGTGTTTTATGTCCAAAAAATATATGTGCAAAACACAAAGAGGAAAAACGAATAAGTCTCACTTGATTATAATTTAATTTGGGGCACTTTTTTTTGCAAAATGTGCAAAAATAAACAAGCAACGAACAAATGATTTTGCTTTGGTTTATAAGAGGAGCTGGGGGGGGTGAATTCTTGCATTCTTAATTGTTTGGCGTAGCAAAGGAAAGCCATTGGTGTTCCATGGCTTAAAATAACACATTTCATGGGGAGAAAAGCGCAGGTTTCAGGCCGTACTTGGGATATAAAACATTATTTGGGCCTTTGAGGTTCTCCACACCAAAGTTTGCACAAACTTTTGCAAATAAAGAAGCAGGGAGATAATTGAACCCGCACAGCAGTTAAAAAGTTGAGTCAACTGAAAGCAGAGCTATCTCAAAGAGGACTAGGAGACAGAAAAAAAGAATACAATTCCTTCTCTTCCATTTCTCGAGGCACATCCCAGGAAGAAATAAAAATGATTAAAATACAATACTAAAATTAAAAGCAGGAAGTCATTGTCATTAAAAAGGGAAGCAAAACTAAGATATTCATCTCTAACCCTCACAGAGGGGACATCTGGAGAAAGAGAGTTCAGACAAGGTTGCATGATCTTGAAATAACTAAGGGGGTCAGCTCTGTTTTATGCTTGGATGGGATACCACTAAGAAATCCTAACACCATAAGCTAGAGGGAGATATTGAAAAAAATGTTCCAGAGGAAGCTTCTTCTGCAACACTGCCCACAAATCGCCATAGACATGTCCATGTAGTCAACTAGAAGTCAACTGGACTTGACAGAGTCTTTCCCTTTTATGTGGGCTCCAGAGGGAAGACTGTTCCAGAAAATAGAAACCATCTCAAAGACAGTCATTAGATGATACTTGGTCAACCGCAGTCCATGTCATTGCAGGGTCTCCTCTGATGATCTTAGGGGTCATCCATGTCTGTAACAGGAATGGTGATCTTATCTCTGTGTGACCCAGAGGGCATTGTGGTGAAGATGGTGAAGGTGGTGGACTAGGACTTGGGAGAACCTCAGCTATGGAAGCTCTTTGGGTGATGCTGGGCTAGTCATTGCTCTCAGCCCAACCTCACAGGGTTCTTGTTGTGGGGACAAATAGAAGGAAGGTGTCCCATGCTGCAGCTGCTTCTTCCTTCTTCCATACTTACAACACATTTGTTAAACAAACTGCTCTCATTCTTGAAACATGCTATGCTCAGACCAAACAACTATGTTCTACTTCAACATGATGGGCTGGTCCACATGGTAAGCAAAGGCAACAACTGGATTCCCACCATAAAATGAACCACAAACTACTGACCCGATTTTATTTATTTATTTTATTTATTTATATTTCAAATTTGGTCACTCCCCATCTCACTAGGAAGGGCTAAAAGGACTCTTTCAGCTAGCTGAGCGACACAGACCAGCATTAAAGCAAGTCAGTGCCATTTATAGGATCCCTATCCACACCTTTAAACATTTTCCCCTTTGGGAAATCACACACAGCATGCTGGCTGGGGGATTCTGGGAAGTCCACACATCTTAAAGTTGCCAAGTTGAGAAACACTGCTGTAAACCGACTCTTACAACTGGGCAAACTGTTCATGTCCAAGAACCAGGCGTAGATGTTAAACAGTGTGCTCTTCACAGCACCTCAACAGATGGAGCTGGTTCAGGACCCAAAGGAGAACCAGATTCATTTGACATTCAAGTTAAAGCAAGTCAGCGCCATTCCTATGATCCCTGTCCACACCTACAAACATTTTCCCCTTTGGGAAATCACACACAAGGCTGGGGGTCCAGGGTCTGCACATCTGGCACGGTAAGCATCCGGGCCCTTCAGCTGCCTGCCGATTTCGAAGCACAAAAAATTTGCCTTTCTCATTCTCAAGCAGGCTTGTTCGTGCCGAGAAAGCAGGACTGGGAGAAAGAAACTCTGGATTAGGGGCATTTGTGGGGTGTAAAAAAAGTCAAGGTTGTGGCGGCGATTGTGATGCTGAAGCCCTTCCTCTTTTTTACAGGCATTGTGGGTTTAAGGGGCTGTGCTTCCTTTGCACAATCACGGCCACCATCTTGACTTTTTTGACTCTGGCCCTGGGTGCCCCGAAGGCAAATGAGGGATGATGGGGTTCAAAGCACACCCCTCCAGAGCTTGTAGAGGTCAAAGAAGGCCAGCTGTCTCTTAGATCCTGGTAAATTCAAATTTCAGGATAGAAATGGAGAGGGGAATTATAGCTGCTTAAAAAAAAAATAAAATTAAGAGGTTTTGGGATGTTGCGTGATAGAAACAAGGCCCTTTAGGACGGATTGGTCTGGCAGCCAGGCCGCGGAAAGGAAGGCCTTTGCTCCAAAGTGAGGGCCCTGATGGGGAGGGAAACTCGTGCACACAAAATACGGCAGACACATTAAACACCGGGGGCCACAACTGCCCGATGCACTTGACAGTGACAGCAGATATATCGCCCTGCTCTGTCAGTGGCAAGGCTTCAATATCAAGATTATTCTTACTTCAAGGTCTATTTTTTTTTTTTTTTTGCCGTGGTTTTGATCAATATTAACCTCTTGGGTCAATAAATCTTAGTACGAGCCTCAAGAGAAGTCATTAGCTTTCATAGAAAATGATTATTTCTCAGTTAAACTCTGCATTTAATTTTCCAGTAATCCATCTTTTTCAGGCTGTCCCCGCAGCAGGAGAGCGGCCACGGCAAAGGGGGACTCCTGGAAGAGGTAAAGGGAGCCCCATTTTCCTGCCCCTGGTTTGGGTTTGCTTAGGTTCATTTACAGGGAAGGAAGGAAGGAAGGAAAGGGAAAGGGAAGGGAAGGGAAGGAGGAAGGATGGACATGGGAATGAGAAGAAAGAAGGAAAGAAAGGGAGAAGAGGAAGAGGAAGAAAAGGAGGAAATAGAAGGAAATAGAAGGAGAGGGAGAGGGGAAGGAAGAAAGGAATAAGGGAGGGAAGGAAGAGAGAAAGGGGAAAAAGGAGTGATGTAAAAGGGGAGAGAGAGGCAGAAGGCTAGGAGGAAGCCAGGCTGGAAGGGCAGGGGATTAGGGGCTCTGAAGTCCATGGCCTCTGATTCCCAGCCCTCCAAGCCTGGCCGGGACTCAGAGACTGAAGTCCAGCCCTACTGCGAGGCACAGTTCACACAACCTTCCGCTGGGCCAGACTTCGCCTCCCGTGTTTCCCGGCCGGCCCGGATCTTGAAAGCCAACACAACGGAGGGCGCCCGGTTGACGGAAGGTCCAGCCTCCCAGACGGGAAGGCGTGGCTGGCCGAGAAGCCAC